CCAGGCCCCGTCCGGACCCCGGGACCCCGACGCTCCTCGGTCTCCAGCTCTTACCCACTATTTCCGGGGATCCCAGGCCCCCAAAGCCCCCCGGCTCCAAGACCTCTGGGTCCGGCACCCTCCGCTCCAGACCTTGGGACCCCGGAGACCCCAAGATCACCCCCTCGTCTCCCAAGGCCTCCTGAGGACCACGGCGGCTCCAGGGCAGGCCCCCCATCCTATGTTCCGGGAACCCCCCGCCCCTCGAGAGCCCTCAGGCCTCCGTGGAGCCGCCCTTGCCTGCCCCCTGGGCTCCGCCACCTTTCCCGGGTGGAGACCACCCCGCCACCTCTCCTTTAGCCCCTCGAGATCCCCGGGGTCCCCTTCCCACCTCCCTCGAGGTTTCTTCCCTCCGCTGATTTCTGCCACCTGCCCGGAGGCTTGTGTCTTCTCGGTCTCCCTCTCCCTCTGTGAAACCTGAGGACCGGGGAGCGTCCAAGAAAGTATCCCCGAGGTTTGTAAAAATCATGTAAGAAATAGAAACACATAACCAGTCACCCGAGGAGCACTTTAATTAATTATTGTTTTTGGAGACCTGTTCTCACTTGTGTAGCTTTTAACTCCCAGACATCCTCTTGCCTCCGCCTCGAAAGTGTTTAAGGACCGCTTTCTGTACCGAACAAGGGGGTGTACTTTGGGGCCCCCGTGTGCTGTTTATTGTTGCACAGCCCAGGGCAGGCAGTGTTTTAACTTAATGACGCCGTGGGACTCACAAGAATGGAGGGGCACAGGGAGTTGGGCAGATCAGGGCACTTTAGATGGTTTCCTTGCTTTGCATTCTTAGAATTAATCATTGGTCTGAGTCGTGTCTTCCCCGCTTCCCCGCCCCCAGCCAGCACTGATTGGAATTCCTGATGGGTTCTGTCAGACTTACTTGGGACTGAGGCAGGGTGGTGGTTGGAAAAAGACTTCATTATAGCGATTTTGTTGATGGAGAGATGCAGGTTTAAGCGCTGCCCTCTTCCCAGGAGGCTGATTTGAGGCAATTTACATAGTAGCTAGGTGGTCGCGAGCTGGTGGGAACCTCCCTACCAGGCGGCTTGTTGCCAAATGGTACCTATCTGATCCTCATCAAGTGAGGCCTTTCGGGTCTGCAGATCTCAGGGACTAAGATCATCCTTTTCCGTGGGCCATTCCCAAGCTGTCACTGACTAGTTTGCCTGGAGCAGTTCCTGCCTATTACACAATGGTTAGGCTAGAGGGAGCAGCTGCCCCGGGTGGTGAAAGAAGAGGGACTTGCCTGATTGTTGTGGAGACCAGTGCGTCACGTGAGTAGTGTGCTCTGCCTCTGTCCTGGGCACTGGAGAGGAGGACTCAGCCCTGCCGCAAGGGCTGGGTTGGAGGGGTGGCGGACCAGGTGGGTCCTTTTTCCATGCAGTCAGGTGCTGTGGCTTGAGTGCAGCTGGTTTGGGGTTAAGGAGGGCAGATTTAGGACTCGTGAGGTGTGCCTGGGCTGAGCCCCATCCTGAGGGGCGGGTGCGGTGGCGGTGTTGCCTCCCTTTACTGGGTGGGTAGGGCCTCCGGTGTGAGGAGAAGGGGCCAGGGGAAAAGCAGTGCCTTTTCTGGAGTAGGTGATGATTCAGGAAGGAAGGGACCGGTGCCTGGTGGGAGCCTGAGAGCAGTGTCCCGGTAGCCAGAATGGGAAGACTGGGGATTGTGCAGAGCACAGGGTTGGAGACAGGTGTGGTTAGGAAGAGGGCCCGAGAGCCACACCACGACCTAGGCACAGGCGCCTTCGTGCTGAGCACAGATGGGCACTTGGGGGCGGGAGGTGAAGGGTCTGAGGAGAGTGAAGTGGCTTGCGTGTGTCTGAATGGTCTCCCTGGTCTTGGAGTAAGCAAGACCATGTGAGAGGTGGGAGTGACCACGGCTTCCTCATCGGGGTGTCTGCTGTCCACACAGGAAGTGCACACGTCACACCGTGAGCAGGATGAAGGGGCCAATGGGCAGGGTCCAGCCCGGTTCCTGCTGAGCTGTCAGCAGCCTCATTCTGAGACCCAGGGCTTCAAGGCAGTGGCAGACTGGAGGGAGGGAGAGGAGCCTGGCTGAGCCCTGTGCTGTAGAACTTCCTGCGAGGGTGACAGAGGGCTGCATGTCTGCTGTCCATCACGGCAGCCACATGTGACCAGTGTGACAGGAGCTGAAGTTTTGGTTTTAATCCTAAGAAGGCTCCCCTTCACATACCTGGGGTGTTGGAGGCACACTGCTCCAGACTTTGTTCTTTTTTGTGTTTTTGGCACTGGGGATCCCTTGTGAGGCAGGCACAGCCAATGAGCTAAATTCTGCCTCACTATGGAGCCCAGCGTGGCCTTGAGCTTGTAGTGATCTTCCTGCTTCAGCCTTCTGAGTGCTGGAATTACAAGTACCTGCAGTGCTGTCTCAGGCTTTGTTCTTTTAAATGTTAATCGATTTAATGCTCCCAGCCACCTTTGGAGTTGATGGTATTGTTTGTTTTCACAAAGGGACCAGAGGCTCAGAAAGAGTTGCCCAGGTCTTACTCAGGACTGCTGGTCCCTGTTGGCTGGGGCTGGGTGCTTCCTGCTGCACTCTGCTTCCTACCCTCAAGGGGCCCTGAGTCCAGAGGATGTCATGACGGCGTTGTTTCCTGGTTTAGCTCTGTTTATCTGTTCCCTGCTAAAGTGAATGTGAACAGTTGTGTGACAAGTCAGCAAAGACCAAACAGAAAACTTGACAACTGCTGGCCGGCACAGGCCTCCCAAGGGGCGGCCAGTGGTCTCAGGCAGCATTTCTGGGAAGGAACAGGGTGAGACATCAGGAGAAACCATGAGAGGCCAGACCTGTGCCCTGTTGTGTGTGGAGGTATGGGCAGGAGGTGGAGCTGATGCCTGAGATGGAGTTTTAGGGTCACAGTGGACCAGACAGTGCCCAGGAGAGCAGCAGGAGTCTGGGATACGAGTCAGGAGTGAGTTTACAGCTTGCCATAATCCTTGGACTGGGCCAGATCACCACTTGTCAAGATTCTTGGTTTTCACTTCAGGGAAAGAAAAAGAGAGAGAAAAAAAGGATATTTGGTGTCACCCAACTTTAAGATCCTTCCAGCTCTAAAATTTTGTGAGTTTCATCAGATTACTTTCTAGGACATCTCACTGTTCTATTTGTTTTGTTTGGTACCAGGGAATGAACTCAGGACCTTGTGCTTATAAGGCAGGTAGCAGCACCACTGAGCTAGCTAAACCCCCAGCCCTTCTCACTTAATAGGGCCTCCCTATGTAGCCCAGGCTGCCTTTGAACTTGTGGTGACCCTCCTGCCTCGGCCTCCTGAGTGCTGGGATTACTGCCTAGGACATGTTTTATGCGTCCTCAGGCTGAGTAAATGCTGGAGGTTCAGTGTAAGACCTAAAGTCTCACTTCCACTCCACGGAGCGTGAACAGCCGAAAGGCCTCCACGATGCTGGGCCCTAACACCCAGCGAGGCTCCGGGAACACGACAGAGAACCGAGAAACCCAGGAAGGAACACACCAGCCTAGATGGTAAAAGACCTTTATTAGTCTGGCCAGACGGCACTCCCGGAGCCAGGTGGCTCAGAGAGGCAACTGCTCAGGGGCTGAGGTACTTTTTATAAGGTTTTACTAAACAAAGAGTCAGGGAATTCACAGAACAAGACTGCAAACACATTGCTTATCTTATGCAGGAAATGTTCTAGGGTCACCTTTTGTCAAACCATTTGCCCCTGGGCGGGCTGTTAACCAAGGTAGCAATTAGCATATGAAGAAGCACAGTCTGGTCTATTAGCATGGAGTCACTTTAGCCTATTCAAGTCTTACACAGTGTGCTCTGGCCTCCTTTTGGTGCTTTCCCATCACGTGTCCCATCTGAGGGGCAGACTGTGAACAGCTTGTGCTTCCGTGCATCCCAAGGTCTTGGGACATCAGGTGGATCAGTTTGCCATTCCAGGATGCACCAGGATTAGAGCAGGTGCAAGACAACACCACACTGCTGGCTTCGTAAAGAGGAAGGGGCTCACCATCCAGACCAGGTGGTGATGAAAGCAGTGCCTGCTTCGCTGGGCTATTGAGAGGATTAGATGAGAAAACACATGTAAAGTGCTTAGCGTTGGCCTTTGAATGGAATAAGGGCTGTACAAGAGGCAGTAATTAACATTGGCTTTATTTATTTATATTTTGAGGTCCCAGCGATACAACCTAGGGCTTTACCTCTGAGCTGCATCCCAGCCCCTTAAGTTTTTTTTAGCATCCTCCTTGCTGGTAGCATGAGCCATTTTCCTGGTTTGTGCCCCTATGCAATGCAGCTCTGTTTGGGGCTCTGGTTTTAAGGAGCCGGTTAACATATTTCATCATTACAGTTTTTCTCTGTTGTACTTAATTCAGCTGAATAAAAATTGACTGGTCGAAGTACGGTGTGTTCACATTAAGGGTCTGTCTGCTGCAAATTGAAGAGAGCAGTTCATCCTGCAGATCCTCATTATTGGTAATGGCTGGGGTTAGGTTTTACCAGCGCCATTGGCTAAATGGTGGCCTGGGTGTGGGTCTTTCCTGAAAAAGCCATGCTGAGTTGAGCCCCGAGGATGCTGAGCTGTCTGTAATGGGTGAGCATCTTCCGGCTGACGAGTGTCTTCCAACTTCTCCTCATTCCATTCTGCAGCAGGCCGGCCGGCCAGGCGAGTGGTGGCTTTCTCATTTGATGAGGAGAAAACTGAGGATGGCAGAAGCGTCCTGTTGTGGGGTTGGCAGCCTTCCCTGACCCCAGGTCTGTTTTCTCTGCCAGGTCCCAGTGCACCTTTGGTGCCTGAGCCTGTCCTCTGTGGCTCACATTTTTGGCCATTAGTGAGCAACTTGCTTCCGTTTTAAGAGGATCTAGCAGTACTGTCAAGAATTCCTTGAGACATGTCTGTCATTGGGCCTGGATTTTTGCTTGTGGTTAGAAACGTGGCTCCCAGGTGTACTGGACACTTGCTCTTGTTGCCTCCCTGCTCTAACACACCTGCTAAGGTCCACCCTGGAAGCCAACTGCTGTGACAAAGGAAGACTGCAGGCATCAGGACAGCGGGAGGGTGACATTAGTGCCAGTTGCTCCAGGCAGCAGGCTGGAGGGCACTGGCTTTCAGACTCACGGTCGCCCACACCTGCGTCACCATGTTTGGAAGGAGACTGGCAGATGTGGCTCCCCGGGAGGGCATGCCATGCCACAGGGTCCACCTTGGTTCCCTGCTTATGCTCAGGGTGTCCCAGCCTGCCGTCTCCTCTGTGCAATTCTGTGTGGTGACTTCGCTAACAGTGGCAGTAGTGGCTGTAGTGATACTGCCGGTCGTTGCTTGCTCTGTTGCCTGGGAGCGTCTGAGCACTTGCCTGGCTGTGTCTGCACTTTTGGGGCTGTCTGCTCCCTCTCTGTTGGGACCAGCTGCAGGTGGGTCAGAGGCCGGCACTCGGAAATGCTGCTAGGTGTGTGTGGCACCTGTGTTACCCTGCCCTTCCGGCTGTGTGAGCCTCTGCTGCCAGCCCTCTGCACTGTGACAGTTGCTGTACGGCCTGTTGTGCCTGTCCCTGTTTACACTGTGTAAAGCCCATGTGACCCTGTTGCTTTTCAGATACTGGAAGTGGATGCAGGGATGTTCCACCACTGAGCTGTATCCCCAGCTGCTTTTATTTTAGTTATTTTCTGGTGGCCTTCACACTGAGTTACATCCCCATCCCATATTTTATTTTTTATTTTGAAAAAGGGCCTCACCAAGTTGCCCAGATCCTTCTCCTCCGGCTCCCAGAGTGTTGGGATGTCAGGCATATGCTACCACTTCTGGCTGGGTTGGTTTGTTTGTTTCTTGGAGACAGGGCCTTGTTGAACTGCCCAGGCTGGCCTCAGACTTGCAATCCTCCTGCCTTAGCCTCTTGAGTAGTTGGGATTACAGGTATGTGTCATGGCACCCAGCTTACAATTAATTTATGGAAAGAAAAAGGCTGACATTTAAAGAAAATAATTTTTAAAGGATCTTTCCTTTGAGTTTTTTCTGATTCACAGTGCTTGTTAAGTGAAAAGTGTAGCTTGTACAGTAATCAAAGGTGAACACTAGATTTTTGTTATATGACATTTATTTATTTATTTATTTGATATAGGGGATCAAACTCAGGTCCTGTGCTTGCGGCGCAGGCACCGGGACCACTGAGCTAAATCCCTGGCCCTGTTCCACGGCTTTTAATAATTAGCGTTGGTAACAGACACTGGCCCCACTGCCTCCTAATCTTTCTGGCCTTCTCACTCTTGGCAGTGTAGAGTAGTGGTAGCAGCAGTGAGCTGTTGCTTGGTACTGGGGTGGCTCACACAGTGGCAGCCACCTGCCTGGGTGAGGTTGAGTGGCTGAAGGCCAGCATGCACCCAGTCACCCTGGGTCCCCTGTGGCTTTCTCTCAGGCAGCGGCACTGTCAAGAGGGCAGACTGGCTTCAGCTGCATCTCACTGCCTGATGGGTCAGTGTGCAGAGCAGTTGTGTGGCGAAGGCCAGCAGCAGTTCTGTGGTTTGGCGCCTCATGGGGCATCAGCAGTCTACCGCAGCAGGCTAGCGACTGGAGGAGGTTTGCTTTGCTAGCTCAAGGACAATAAGCTCATTTTTGAAGTTTATCATTTTTGAATTAGACTCTTATTTAATGAGCATTTATTTAGTACTGGGTGCTGAGTCCCAGAGCTAGAATACAGCAGTATCCAGCTGTTGCATAACTAGTTTATAAAACATTTGTGATCTGATCTCATGTTCTAAGCAGGAAACATCCTGCTGATACTTATATTAGAGGTTTTGGATGAAAAGGACAGGAAATGCTTTAAGAATCTGCATCGGGACTGATTTTGCCTTCAAAAAATGCTAATAGTTCTTGTAATAGAGTGAGTTGCTGCTATGACTTGGGTTTGAGCCCAAAACTGGTGACGACATGATCACCAAGGAGACCAACAGATGCAGCCTCCAAAGGGTTTTGTTCCTGTGGTCTGGAATCCCATTGGCTTGGAGGTGTGGCAGGGGGTGGGAGCAGGGTGTCAGAGGCTTGGGAGTCCTTGGAAACTTCTGGGGTTGGACTGTGCAGCTCTCCCCCTGGACCTTGGTAGAAAACCAGGGGAGATTTTGGGTAATCTCCGGTTGTTGTGAGATTTGGCTCTGATCTTTATGCTGCTGCACAACAGGAAATGAGGTAATGTCTTTAAATACGGAGTGTTTATACAGAACTGTAAATGCCTAAATATGGGCAGCTCTGCAGTTCCCCCTGCTGTGCTGAGGCCAGGGCTCTTCCTCTGCTGGATCTTTGGTCCTTAGAGGTCAGAGCTGGTCTTAGCATGGGGAGGGGGCCCTGTGCCAGTCCATTTGGGAGCTGTGTGACTGTTGGAAGGGCCCCTGGAGGAGCTGGCTCCGTGCCTTGCAGGGGGGCTGAGAAAGGCTCGGAACCAGCTAGCACCAACCTGCCTGGAGTGCCAGCTCTCATCTGTTCTGGAAATGCTGGAAGGAGCAACGACTCGGTCTCTTGGGGAGTTGGAAATCACTTCATGTCATGTTAAGTGCAGCCTGCAAATGTTTAATTTGTTTATGCCTTTTTGCTGGTGTGTAAATACAGTATTTATGTTTTGAATTTGTAACTGCGATCCATCTATATGTGGAAAAACAGAAGCAGTTGAACAGTAACTAAAGGAATTGGAGACAGGGTTTTGCTGTGTAGTCCATCCTGGGCTTGAATTTGTGAGCTTGTTTTAGCCTCCCTGGTACTGGAGTTACAGGTGTGAGCCACTGTTCTGGGGATTGAACCCAGGCCTTCACATCGGCTATTCCCTCAGTTGCTCCCCCGCTTATTGTGAGACAGGGTCTTACTAAGTTGCTGTGTTGCCCAGGCTGGCCTCCAACTTGTAATCCTTTTGTCTCAGTCTCTCAGTGTGCTGGGATTACAGGCATGCACCACTATGAACTGCTTGAAGTAGAGATGACACGTACCAACCTGATGAATGTAACTACTGTGTACTGCAAACACGTACTAATGAGAAGAAACATTTTTTTTAAGAAAGCTCTTGGCATGATAACAGTCATGTACTTCAGTCTTCTCTACACCTCTCTGTGGGACTGAAAAGCATCCTGTAATGTGTGGGGAAGCTGAGACAACTTCTGCCCTTAGGGTGAAGGAGCACGGATCTTGCAGTGGTGTGGGTGGTTTAGGGGTCAGTGGGTGGTAGGATTAGTCAGCTGATGAGTACCTTGTATTACCCTGCACCAGGACTGAGCCCGGAGGTCCCAAGTCCTGAAGAGAGGTTGGCAGTGGAAGGCTGGGGCAGCCTCAACCCAAGGTCCCTGCTGAACTACCTGACCTGGGGGTCTGAACGCACTGCACCTGCATTTCTGAGCAGTAAGCCTTGGAGACACGGCCAGTTCGTAGGAGGTTGTATTTTGTAGTCAGTACAGCTGAGGGTGAGTAATCAGGCCAACCGCTGAAAGTTCAGGGCTAGAGATGAGGCTGCTCCTGTCCCACAGTCTGTTACTTCTTGATAAGTTCCCCCAAGCGGACTTGACCTCCGTTGACTTCTGACTGCAGTGGGAAGAAGTGGGAGTTGGCGGCAGCAGCCTCGCCCGTGGCTGGTGAGTGAGGCTCCATAGCCTCAGGGAAGGTCATGGCCACTGTAGGTTGCTGGTCCTCACATGGAAGCTGGGGTCTCTGCCCCAGGGAAGTGGGCGTGTGCGTGCTCGGTGGGGAGCTCTGGATGCCCTGGGCTCTGCAGCCTCTTCGCACTAGTGTTCTCACCTTGGAAAATCGCTCTTGATGACCCGGTTCTAGCTGAGGTGAGAAAAGCTGCCCACAATCGGACAGGTGGCTCTCAGTCATGCCGCTCTGGCCACTGCTAAGCCAGCACCTCCTGCTCTGCTCACAGCAGGTGTGGAGCAGCGGCGGGCATGCAGTGTGTGGTGGTGCCCGTTCTGGAGTGTGACAGCTCTGCTGCCCTGCAGCCTGTCCCACTGGGCCGATTTCTCAGTGATGCGGGTCTGGGTGCCCGACCTGTCATCGGTGTCACTCCCCTGGTGTGCAGCAGGGAATTGATGAGGTACAGCAGGCATAGAGATGCTGGGGCTCTGCGCCTGGCTGCTAATCTCATGGGGAACTGCTTTATCAGTGCGGGAGAAAGGATCTGCACTCACTTCTCCAGTGCAAGAACTAAAGTCTAGACCGGAACACCTAGTGCTCAGAGTCAGGGACTGTCCCGTTATCTTATTATTTTATCATTGGCCCCTTGTTTACAGTAAATACTAGCTGTAGAATCTAGGGAAAAGGTGATTTGGGAAGTTGTGGAGTATGCATAGCCGGGTGGATGGAGACCACTGGTGTGAGATTCCTGTTTTATCTTGACTACGCAGGCTCCTTTGGGTGGGGTTCAGTTGGCTGAGGCCTGGCACTGGGATGTGGTGCTGGGGAAAGAGCCTGCCTCTCCCGCAGACACTGTCCTGCGTGCCCTCCCCTGTAGCTCGCTGCACCCTCTGCATCCATCCTTCTGATTAGTTCGGTGGTGATGACTGAGCTGCTGACCAGTCTGATGAGCTGCGTGAGATAGTGGTGGTTTAGGAAACATTTTGTTTTCAGGTACGTAGGATGTCACTGTGTACAGCCTATGTACACACTGTGTACGCTGGCTTTGAACTGGAGTCAATCTTCCTGCCTTAGCCTTCTGAGTTTGGGTGTATGTTTTTTGTATATGGCGTTTTTCTTTTTTCTTTTTTCTTTTTTTTTTTCTGTTTTTGAGACAGGGTCTCACTATGTAGTTGACACTGACCTGGAACTCACTGTGTAGTGGTGGTGTTCAAACATTCTAATTTAAATGGAGATTTAGGACTTCTTTGTTTTGGTACTGGAGATTGAACTCAGGACCTTGTACCTGCCAGGCGCTGAGGTGCCACTGAGCTACATTCCCAGCCCAGGGGCCTTTCATTCTAGACTTAGTTCTCTTCCAGGGTACTAATAAAAACTTTTGAGCCTGGCATGGTGAAACATAGCTGTAATCCTGGCAGTTGGGAAGCTGAGGCAGGGGGATGTCTGGGGATGTAGCTTAGGGTAAAATCCTGGGTTCAGTCTCCAGTGTCACATGCATATGCACGCGCACACACACCATACAACTTTTATCTGGGAAGTATAAGTTGCTCCTGATCATTTTCTCTCTTTAGGATTCACAGATGGAGTCAGTGGAAAAGACAGCAAATAAAAGTGAACAAAAATCAAGGTAAATAAACTCAGTTCTACCTTCAGGAGGGTTTTTGGTTCTCTGTCATGACGCTACAAAGACAAAAGTGAAATACAAAGTTGGGGCAGGCTGGACCTCCAGGCCTGGTTACACAGGGAAGTCTGCGGGGGAGAGCATGCGGGAAGCAGGCAGCCGGGCCAGTGCTAGAAGAGCTTCTCAGCCGGCAGTAGGGTCTTAGCTGTAGCTGCCAGCAGGGGTTGTTTTGTTTTGGTGGGCAGCTTGAGGAGGTGAGAGTGGCACAGCTGCCTGAGTCCTTAGCAGAACAAGAGTAGAGCAGCAGAGTAAACACCCGGAGCAGGAAATGCAGAGGCTCTGTCTGCTGCTAGGGTCCAGAGGACACAGGGGACAGAATGTGTGCATCAGGGCTATTGGCTCTGACCTGAACATCACAGCCGTTTCCAGACTTGAGGTCACAGTGCTTGTGTTGATTCTTGTTCCTCTCCCTTATGTTGAAGCAGAAAGTTTTTAAAAAGCCTCGTCCGGAAGCAGCCCCAGGAGCTGCTGCTGGTCATTGGGACTGGTGTCAGTGCCGCGGTGGCCCCAGGCATCCCTGCCTTGTGTTCGTGGCGCAGCTGCATTGAGGCTGTCATCGAGGCTGCAGAGCAGCTGGAGGTGCTGCACCCTGGGGATGTGGCCGAGTTCCGGAGGAAGGTGACGAAGGACCGGGACCTGCTGGTCGTGGCCCACGATTTGATCCGGAAGATGTCACCTGTGAGTCTCAGACGAAGACTTGAGGGCGCACGGGGACAGCTACAGGGTTCATTCCACAGCAGAATCGGGCTTGTGAGCCTGCAGGATGTCACCCCTTGCCCACATGGGTCCCCCGGTGAAGCGGCACTCCTTTGCGCTGCCTCAGGGTGCTGTCCTACGTGCGTGCTGGGTGAGCTCTCACTGACTCTCAGCACCGGGTGTCCTGTGGCTGGTCGCTTGTCAGGCCAGCCATGTCTCCTCAGGTGACAGCTACTCCCTCAACACGGGAGAAGGCAGCGTGCCTGCCGAGGAAGGGAGCTGGCAGCAATTCAGTTCTCACGTGGAAATCCAGGCAGCACAGGGGAGCAGAGCCAGGTGGTGTCAGGGACCTGGGCCTCCCCATTGCTTTGCCGCCTTCAGCCTGAGCTCCCACCCTGCTCCCGAGGTCAGCTGCCCTGCTCCTGCCATGCCTGTGTGCACGTTCCTGCCCGTGGGCAGAGAGGGTGACAGGGCTGCAGCGGAAGTCAGCTCCGCCTATTTCCATTGCCGTCGACCCCTCAGGTAGTGGACCAGGCCCACAGTGGTGCCCTGTTACTCGGGGATGACTACCGTCACTGGGCAGGGGCAGGCACATACAGCTGGGGCCAAACTGGTGTGCCACCTGCTTTCGTGAAGGAGGTTTTGTTGGCACACGGCCATGCCCATGTGATGACACTTTGTCTCTCTCGGCTGCTTTGGTGCCCAGCAGCAGAGCTGAGTAACCGCAAGAGACTGTGGCCCATAGGCCCGATGTGTTTCCTCTCTGGTCCTTGATAGACAAGAGTGTTGGCCCCGCCACAGGAAGAGGAGGGAACAGCTAATGGGCCAGGGGGCTGGCGGCATGGCTGGGCATGGAAGGCCCTTGTCCTTCATCTGCAGAGAGGCTGGCTGCCTGCCCTAGGGCAGAGGTGGCAACCCTATGGCACATTGCTACAGCGGCTGTTTGTACCATTACAAGCTCTAAAAGGTTGGCCATCCCTGCTCTGGGAGCTGTTCTTTACAGTTCTGCAAACCTCCGTCACGAGGAGTTAGGGTGTGGGTGGTCAGCTGGGTTGGGGACAGGCTGGAAAGTTGGCTTCCTTGGGGAGTCACAGCGGCCTCAGCGAGCAGGGTGAGGTGTGTGCGGTCCCAAGAGAGGTGAGACTGGAGGGCTGAGTGGTGTGTGGTGGGGTTCCCCAGGGGTTCCAGAAAGGATCCGGCTCTGGTCCTGCTGAAGGCTGGCGTGGGTGGCTGAGGAGGGTGCTGTTGTATGGGGGAGGGCGGTGGGAAGGATTTTCTAGGCCAAAGTGCAGAGCAGATCATGCACATGGCCTCAGAATCTCCAGGAATGAGGGCGGAAGTGTGGCGAGGGAGACTCAGCAGGAGCCAGGGCCATCCTGTCCTTCCTGCCCTGCAGTGTGTGAGGAGCGCACCTTGGGAGGCCCCAGTAGCTGTAAACTCTTTTTTGATCTACTGTGCCTGCAGCACCCAGCATAGTTCCGCCTGAAAGTGACCGTTGTGACTCTGTTCTCTCTCCCACAGCGCACAGGCGACACCAAGCCCAACTTCTTCCAGGACTGCCTGATGGAGGTGTTTGACAGCCTGGAGCAGCACATCCAGAACCCGCTGGTGCTGCAGTCCATCCTCGGCCTCATGGACAGGGGCACCATGGTGCTCACCACCAACTACGACAACCTGTTGGAGCTCTTCGGGCAGCAGCAGAACAGGCCCATGGAGTCGCTGGACCTGAAGGACAAGACAAAGGTGGGCCAGGCAGCGAGGGGGGCTGGCACCCAGCAGTGACTTTGTGACGAGGAAACGTCCCGACACCTACAGGGAACAAGACACTGAGTTTGTCCTGAAGGCCATGCCAGCCGCCTCAGGTAGCTGGGCCAGGAGGTTGTGCCCTTCGCCTCTCCAGATTTCCTGCCAGCCCTTTCTTTCATGGTCTGTCCTGGAGGCCTTTGAGGCACCCATCTGCATGGATTCACTGCAGCCACCCTGGGAGACGTGGCAATAAGGAAGGAAGAGCAGAAAACCCCAGCCCTATTGCTGCAAAAGCAAAATACCCTGACTGTGTTGCTTCTTTTTGTGTGTGTGTGGTACTGGGGAGTGAACCTAGGGCCTTCACACTGAACTATATTCCAGCCCTTTATTTTTTTTATTTTGAGACAGGGTCTCATCAAATCACTAAGTTGCCCAGGCTGGACTGATGTTTGCGATCTCCTGCCTCAGCTTCCCAGAGTGCTGACATGATAGGTGTGTGTCACTATGCCTGGTCAAATCTTTTCTTTAACAATCCAGCATTTTTTCTGTAATAATCCTGCACCTCCTGCACCCAGGAGGCTGAGATAGGAGGATTGCCACAAATTCCAGGCCAGCCTAGGCTGCATAGTGAGTTCAAGGCCAGCCGGAACTACATAGCAAGACCCTGTCTGGAAAAAATAAGCAGAACAAATTTGGATTACAATTTACGCCATTTTTTAGTTCTAATTTTCCCCTTAATATTATACGGGGCATCTTCCTGTCACTAAGCTGTTTTCAAAAGTATGATTTTTAAATGGCAGTAGGAGTCGAAGACTAAATTATAATTGTTCCCCTTCCTCTGTTCTTGTAAGTACATTTTTTATACTGCAGTAAAAATTCTTATACTTTTGTGTTCCTGGGTTTATTTCTTGAGGATGAACTCCTAGTATAGTGTTCTCTGGTCAAAGGGTGTGGTGTTTTAGAGACTGCTGGTATGAATTACCCAGCTGTCTTCCAGATTCTCCTGTGTATGGGAGTGTCTATTTCCTGTCTCTTGGTCAGCATTCAGCGTCATTAAAAAAGTGAAATATTCTGCTGGGTGTGGTGGCACATGCTTATAATCCCAGCACTTGGGAGGCTGAGGCAGGAAGATCAGCACAAGTTGGAGGGCAGCCGGGGCTACACAGCAAGACCCTATCTCAAAAATATTCTTTACCCATTTGATAGGTGGAAATGTAAAATTTTTCTTTTACTACTACTAAGGTTAAACACAGTCTTATTGGTGATTTTCTTTGCGGACATGTTTGTGTCCTTTGTGTGTCTGCTTATTTTCTGTCATTGCCACCGGTGCTGTCACTTAGCTGCAGCTCCATGTGCTTCCCTCCACGCAGCCTCTCCCGAGTGGCCTTGACCCCATCTGCCTTGTCACGGCAGGCATGGGACACGCATGGAGGAGCAGTTTGGGGCTATGGCCCTCTGGGGAAGTCAGTGTGAGTGTCGTAACTGCCAGCCAGCGACACAAACGCCCACTGCTCCCCTACCTGTCCCTGTCTCCAGCAGGCTGTTAAGGCCCCACCCCCAGAGAAAATGGTGCAGACACGAGTGCATCTTTTTTTTTTTTTTTTT